CACTGCACCCTTGTGGAAGACCTTGAAAAAAATCCTGGCTCCTGCCTTCGGATTGGTGTTGCTCCAGTCATTTCGGCCAATTGGGGAAGTGAACCAGCGGATGGAAAACCTCTCTCTCAGTCTCCCCTTCTCTCTGTGTTTAACTCTTTCAAATAAATAAGGCCAGCCCTGTGGCTAAATAGGTTAATCCTCCGCCTTGCGGCGCCGCCACACCAGGTTCTACTCCTGGTCGGAGCGCCGGATTTTGTCCCAGTTGCTCCTCTTCCAGGCCAGCTCTCTGCTATGGCCAGGGAGTGCAGTGGAGGTTGGCCCAAGTACTTGGGCCCTCCACCCGCATGGCAGACCAGGAGAAGAACCTGGTTCCTGGCTTCAATCAGTGTGCTGCACTGGCCGCAGTGCGCCAGCTGTGGCGGCCATTGGAGTGAACCAACGGCAAAAGGAAGACCTTTCTCTCTGTCTCTCTCTCACTATCCACTCTGCCTGTCAAAAATGAAAAAAAAATCAAATAAATAAATAAGTCTTAAAAAAAGAAAATAAACATTTGGTCTGTGGGTAGACAGGGCAGTTTGCTGCAAGCCTGGTGGTAATTTATGAGCTGATGTTGTTTTTACACCCCATATTAAAGATTTGCTTCATTTACTTTTCTTTCTTAAATAAAAGTTTATGCATTTCAAAATCAGAGTGAAAGAGGAAGAGGGAGTGATAGAGAAAGAGAGAACTTCCATCTATTGGTTCACTTCCCAGATAGATGTAATGGCCAAGGCTTTGCCAGGCCAAATCCAGGAGCTTCTTCCAGGTCTCTGCATTGGTGGCTGGGGCCCAACAACATGGGCCATCTTTCACTTCTTTTCCAGGGCCATTGCATGGAGCCATATCAGAAGTGAAGCAGCCCTGTGGGATGCCAGCACTGCAGGCTGTGGCTTTTTCCACTATGCCACAATGCCAGCCCCATCACTTTATTTTCTTAAGCAAACTTCCTAAAGTTTTCTTTCCTCTCTTTTGGAATTTCTGTGCTTCCATCCTCTCTATAACCACCCTTTTCTCTCTTCTTTTTATCATGATGAGAAGAGTAGTAGAGACACTGCAGCTCTCTCCCTTGTCAGCATGGCTTCCTCAGGCTGTCTCCCTGAATTAGGAGCAGCTACTTCCTGTGTTCAGGCAGGAAACTGGTGGGTCACAGCACCCTCAGGATTTCTGCTTTGCTCTCCTCTGTGATGTATTTGAAAACCTCTGAATAGGGGGTGGCATTTGGTACTCTGAGATGTGTCTTTATAAATCAGGTGTCATGGAGGACCCTGTGTCTTAAGAATCAATTGAGCCCATCCAGGCCATGGGCAGCCTGGACTGAGCAGGGCCTGGCTGACATCAGGCAGATGGTGTTGGGGGTCGGGGGTAATTTCCAAGGGCTCTGGTCATGAAGCAGGGGTGGGGACACTAGTCTGAGCTTTTAGCAGATCTGCAGTTGCTGGGGAGATGGGGGCAGTGGCCAGGTCACCAGGCTCCACCTCTGGAGCAGAGCTGGAGCAGAAGCCCTTGGTGAAGGGTAAAGCGAATCCCCAGACGACATGGGCCATCCCTCTGTCCGGACTGCACGGACCTAGCCCTCTTCCTGCTCAGCCGCTCCTGGGTTCTCTGAGCCTCTTTCCTCCTCTGCCTCTCCAAGGGGGCCCAGGCTCCTGTGAGGAGCATGTTGTTTTCTGGTTGCTCACTCTCAACACAATCATGGGGACTCCTTTTCCTGCTGCTGGGTCTGTCCTGTCGGGATGAGGCAATGTTTGCACAGCTGAGGTGGGGCCTGGCAGGCGGAAGCAGTCCCTGATGGCTGCAGAGCCATCTGGCCCAGTGTGGCCTGACTCTGCTTACTGCTGGCAGACAGCTGGCTGCTCTGCCTGGAGAAGCTACTGGGTCACCGGGCTCTGCTCCTGCCCCTTTCAGCCACTGCCATGCAGAAGTGATCCCTGCTGCTGCCCGCTCAAAGCTGCCTGCCGACTTAGCTGAGCTGTGAAGCTGGACATGGATCATCTGTGGGAAGAAGCCTCAGGGATAGCAGGACCAGCCTGGCAGAGGCAAGGCCACAGAGGGGCTTCTTGTGCTCACTTGCCAAGGACATCCCCCCAGTCTCCACCCCTGATGAGGCTTGCAGGTGCTTTCAGAGTTGGTGAGCTCATCATCTCTTTGCAGGATGTAGCACTCATGAGTAAGTTCTATACTTAGTAACCAGAGTGGGAGGGTCCCTTCCACCTCTTTCAGGCTTCTCTGTGCCCCTGGGTCCATTTGCTGTCTTCTGGATGGAGGCTGGGAGACTGGGTCAGTAGCATGAACATGACCAGACCTGCAGTGGAGAACAGACTACAGGGCCATGTTGTGATAGGAACCGGTGGAAGGTGCAGGTGCCTGTGGGGGTGGGGGCCAGAGGGAAGTCATGTGGGGGCCTGAGAGCATAGGAAGGGTGAGGGGTGTGTGGTTGTGGGCATGGATGTGCAGACTCATGCACCAGGGCCTGGCTTTTAGTAGATCTGCTGTTGCTGGGGGAATGGGGGGCAGTACCCAGGTCACCAGGCTTTCCCTGGTGCACTGGGACTTAGCTTCTCCCTGGGCACCTGGGCAGTTGTACGGCCATCCATTCAGTCAAGAGGCATTTCCCTTTTCCTTTTCAAGGCCGTGAAGCACTTGGGGAGTGTTTCCCAAGCCCAGGCTTGCAGCTGGCAACGTGTCCATCCATGGGCCATTCAACACTCACCCCCACACGCAGGCCCACAGCAGGTGCTACAGTGCTCATTAGGGCCCCGGTGCTTTCTGGAACTCTTCCCATAGGCAGTTTTTCCAGGGATGCTTGTAGGTCAACCCTAGGTTGATGATTTGGAGGTATTTCTCTGAATCAAAATGCACACATTGTATCTAAACAGCAGAAGCTGCCCCATCTCCTCCCTTGCCATTTATAGTAATGTGGGAAAGGAGTGAGAGAGGCTCAAACTCCCTTTTCTGTGCTGTTCCAGCTGCTTCTCTCTTTATTATTATCCACACACCACGACTAGGCCTGGGTTTCCTCTGACTTCTTTTTCCTTTTATTTGATTCAGATGCAAGCTTGTATTAGAGAAACTGAGCCCCTGAGTCAGATGGACTAGGGATAGAGAACCCCCAATCTCAAGATACTTTCTTGTCCTGTAAATTTGTTTTGTCAGATGTTGTTTGAAATGAACAGTCTGCTAGAATTCGTGTGTCAGGGAGATTGGGGTGATATAGAATCAGGTTTGCTGTGTGATATTTGAGCAGTATTCAGGTACAAGGTCTTAGAGTCTCTGGTGTGTGTTTAGACTGTGAATTACACAGATACCTTCACTCTCTGGCCTAGGGGAGATGCATCAGCAGCCCCCACCCCCATGTGCATGTCCCAGGGCCATGGCAGGATGGTTATCTGTTCTCAGTGGAGGTGGAGTATGTGACTTGCAGGGGCCTCCTAGGTCAGGTGAGAAATAAACAGCAGGCCTGAGTTGGGGGAGTTCTGGACAGGGATTGATGGGAGGCAGAAGAAGCATAGCTGGGGAGAGGCCTTTGCATGTAGTCTGTGAGTATCCTTCTAGGGCTGAAGGAGGACTGTCCAATACCCTGAGTGCATAAATAAGCTCAATGTTTTCCTTGTCATAGGAAGGGAACCCCTGGGGCTTGGGAATGCCAGAGAAGGGTTCTGATTGCCAGGGAGTGTGGAGTAGGAGTGTGGGAGTGGGAAATGCTGATCGTCTGCCTGCTGACCTTGGACTGGAGTCTGCTACCTAACTCCACTTGTTTAAGTAGAGCTTGTGTTTGGAGTCTCACATTCATATGTGTGTAGCAGATGCAGGCAGATGCTACCTCAAGTCTGTCAGCTCTTTTAAGGCTGTCTTTTGATTTAAGGGAAGGAGTTCAGCTCACTGCTGGGGCAGGACCTCGCTGTCAGTCAAGGAGCACCCAGTTCTGCCTCTCCCTGTCCCCAGGACTTCCCATATAGGCTCACAAAGCTGTTTGGGAGGCAGAAGAGCAACACTGAACATGGGATTCAGGACTAAAGGCCACAATCACAGTGCAGAAGGAATTCTAGAAAAAGCCAAGGTGGGGTGAGAGGTGTCTAATAAGCATGGACAGCAGCCCAGACTCAGCAGGACTGAAGTTAGGGCCTAGACTTCAGCTTCCTTCTTGAGCCATAAATTAAATAACAACAACAAAAACAACAACAACAAACCACCAAAAACAAAGCAAAAAAGCAGCCATTGAATGACAAAAGTCACAATGCATGGGCTTCCTGTGTGAGTGGCCACCCCATGGGGCTTCATTCTGACTGGGCAGAAGTCAAAGGTGGTTTATGGTTAAAAGAACCTGGTCAAGTGCATTTAACTCTTTCCTGCCAGCAGAGATACTTCACAGCTGACTCCTGACTTCTCAGCCTGCTCTGGCAGCTTTTATTGTCCTTCTTTCTCTATTTGAAGACAGCACCTGCTGTGGAAGTGCTCAGTGCCCTCTCCATGACACAGCTATGGGAAGGCGAGTGAGTGGCTTCTAGGAGACCTTACCATGAAGTCTTGGACACAGCTGTTGATGTGGCTCATGGCCAGTGTGGACCTCACTCTCGTGATGACATGTACTGCCCCTAGAGCATTTTGTCCTTCTCTGATGATGGGGAGTGTCCCATGGAGTCTGTATCGCGGTGATCCTGTGAGCTGCAGTTGTGCCCCTGTGAGCTGCTGCTACTACAGAGCTGTAGCCCTGCCTCAGCTTAGGGGTTGATTGCTGACAGTCGAGAAACTGTGGCAGTTGTTGTCATAGACAGAGTGTGACACACTCTCTCATCAATTTAAGCATCCAGCCAGATGTACTGCGTGTCCACCATGTTCCAGGTGCCAGACCAGGCACTGAGGACAGGATGCTGAGCAAGGCAGCTTATGCTTCCTGCTTGTTATACCTTAAACTCTAGTTAATAATTGCAGGGACTTCTGGAAAGTGTTCTAATCTGAAAAGTATAAAATGCCCTGTGTCGCTCCCCCTCTTCGTGGAGGAGCAACACTGAACCCTGCGCTGTTCTTTTCGTCTGCTCGGCCCTCCCCGGGTTTGCTGCTGGTTCTTCCCGGGTTGGCTACTGTCCCTTCCACCTCCGTGGAAGGGCGGTTCCCCCTGGCCACATTCCCCACTTCCGCAGGGGTGCGGCACACCGCTGGCCGGCTTTCTCGGGGGCTGCACAGGTGTTCCTTCAGCTAGATGTTCCCCTTAGATGTTCCTGGTGCATGCCGTCTCTCTCCTCCTTTATAGTCCTGCTCCGCCAATCCCAACTCGGCTGCCCACACGCCGAGTACGCTGCTCTCCAATCAGGAGCAGGTCCTACAGTTTATTGGTTGAACTGGAGGCAGCTGTGCGGAAGCTGTTTACTTCTCTCCCAGCGCCATATTGTGGGAGAGCAGATGCATAGAATAAGTCTTAATTCCAGTAACTCAGTCTAGTCCGGTTTGCTCCCCACAGCCCTGGATTCCAAGGTCTGAGCATCCAGTCTTGTCTAAGAGTCAAGGATAACTTTCTGGAAGAAGTGACATTTGTGCTGATGCCTGAACATCAAGAAGAAGTAATTTATTCTAAGGAGCTGTGCCTGGCAGCTTACTTTTTTTTGGGACAGTGTACAGCATCTCATTGGAAGAAAGAACTCCAGTGCTGCCAGGGTTTGCTTATGAGAAAGCGAGAATCAGATTCTCCCTGCCAGGACTGCAAGCTGACCTCATCTCCCTGCAGTACTTCTTCATCCAACAGCCAGGCCTGGTTGAGAATGTCCACTTGGAGCTCGTGTGGTTCTGAGGCCTGACATCACAGACGATCTTGCTTTTCAAGTAACTTTGCAAAGAGAAATCACTATCAAATACTTCCTGATGATGTGTGATCGCTTCACCACCCAAAGACCCCAAGAGTATTCAGAACCATGCCCAGCGCAGAGGAGATACTCATGAAATATTCGGTGAGCAAAGGAGGACATTGTCTTACTGCTGTTTATTGGGAGGCAGATTAGGAGTCCTGATTAAACTGGAGTTAATGCTCAGCTCTATATTTTGTCCTCTGCATGGTTGGTCACTTGGCCATAAGCTGAAGCCCCATTGTCCTTTGGATTCTTGGCAGAGTTCTTTGGTTTCCCATTATAGGTGCATTGCTTGGCCTTGGCTTTCCTGAGGGAGGCTAGGTCAAAAGAAGGGGTCCTGCTTCTTCCTGGGAGCCTGGTGGTCATGGTGGGTAGCTAAGATGTTTATATGAAGCAGAAATGGTCATGGAAAACCACAGACAGGAAGGGCTTGAACATGTCCTGGGCAGGCATCATCCTGTGATGTCAGGACTGCTGGCTTCAAGTCATGTGTGGTGGTGGTGGAGAGGGGGTGGAGAGTGTGGGGATCATCCTGTGTAATGCAGATTCCCAGGGCCTGCACTCCTCCTGCTGAGCAGAGCCACAGGGAATGCTGCCCAGAGTTCTTTGTCTTTAGCAGGCAGCCTCCCGAGGTGATGCTTTTGTCCTTTGTGGATTCTGGGTCCCTCTTCTAGGGGGACAGCATCAGAGGGAATGAATGTTTTACAGAGGAGTTTGACCCTGAGGGACTGGGAGTTAGGGTTAGGAGGGAGGAGAGACAGAGGATGCCATTCTGCAGAGCAGCAGGGGAGACTGGAAACACAGGTCTGCTCACAGCAGTGCCTTTCTTGCCCAATCCTGTAGAGAATCTGCCCAGCTGCTTTGTGTCCCCCTGGTGCCCTTGGATCCTTCCTGGGGAGTTCCCTTTCCTTCCCAAGTTGCTGACCAGCTGATGCTGCATGCTCCAGCTGCCCCTTCTCTGCAATTTTGTAATTAGGAGGTGGCCCAGGGGAGGGGCTTGGGGTGCTTAGCCTGATGTGGGGGAGCCTGGGCATGTTTTGGTATGGCTTGGGCTCCCACCAGCTCATCTCACTGCTAAACACTGCCAGGAGGGGCTGGAGGGGTGTTTTGTTTGTATTTAAATCAGCACTCCCTTTCTCTTTGCCAGCTATCAAGTTTTGAAATCCTAATTTGTAAAGAAATAAGTGCTGGAGGGTGGGAAGTGGCAGATTAGTCAGGGGCACATGCAGATTGGCATTCTGCTTCAAGTTCTGCCCCTTCCTGGGGGCAGTGCTGGTGGCTGTGAGGTTAAATGACCTACAGAAAGGGCTCAGGGTGAGGTCTGGTGGCTTTAGATACCTGACCACTAGGGGCTGCCTTCCTCAAACTTGTTTCTAGACTTCTGTGTGGCATTTACTCCTTATGTAATTTCCTACCTCCCTTTAAAAGGCTCATCTCATTTCACTGTAATTATTTGCTTCATTGTTTCTCTCCTCTAAGTGTATGTCTGTCTCCTTTGTGACAGTATCCAGTGTATCACTTCATGTTGTGCTTGGCTCAAGAGATAGTGGTTGTGAGAGTAAATGAACCTCTTTGCTGAGAGGCACTGTCTGGCTTCAGCCCATTTGATAGAGTGTGAAGGACCCCTCAGTATTGAGGGCTCTAATCATGGTTGGGGTACCAAATTCTGTCCTGGTTGCTCCTCTTCCAGTCCAGCTCTCTGCTATGGCCCAGGAAGGCAGTGGAGGATGGCCCAAGTGCTTGGGCCCTGTACCCACATGGGAGACCAGGAGGAAGCACCTGGCTCCTGGCTTCAGATAGGCACAGCGCGTCGGCTGTAGCAGCAACTTGGGGAGTGAACCAATGGAAAAAGGAAGACCTTTCTCTCTGTCTCTCTCACTGTCTAACTCTGTGGCAATAAATAAATAATAAAAAAATTTAAAAAAATGAGAGTAAGCGGATAATCCTTGCCCTGCCTTGCAGGGTGGCTGAGATGGAGAAGGTCACACAGGTGTGCTTTGTAGTCTAAAAGTAACTAAATAAATATGGCACATATGCACTGTATGCAGGGATATGGATACACACAGAAATGCTTGTTTAAAGAACAGCACAATATTAGGGGACTGAATTGGCTTATAAAATACCCACGTGTACAACTTGGAGGTAGAACTCTTAGATGCAGTTCTTGTTTTTCTTATTTTTCAGTTAATTATTCAGAGAGGCAGAGTTATAGACAGAGAGATGGGGAGACAGAGAGGTCTTCCATCTGCTCATTCACGTCCCAAATGGCTGCAACGGCCAAAGTTTGGCTGATCTGAAGCCAGGAGCCAGGAGCTTCTTCTGTGCCTCCCACATGGGTGCAGGGGCCCAAGCCTTTGGACCATCTTCCACTGCTTTCCCAGGCTGGTAGCAGTCTTTGTGATAGAGGAATTGCAAACAGGCTGTGTGATAACATAACACTTGTTGATGAAGGTAGGCGGAAGTGAGGGCCTCACACTCACACTTGGGAGGCATATAATATGGTAGAGTCTCTTTGGAGGATAACCTGGCAGATGTCTCCACAAATTTGAAATGAAAATTTCCTTTGGTGGGGTTCAACTGCAGAAACCTTTACAAACTGAATCAGAGGGGCTAGTGCTGTGGCATAGCAGGTCAAGCCACAGCCTGCAGTGCTGGTGTCCCATGTGGGTACTGGTTCAAGTCCCAGCTGCTCCACTTCTGATCCAGCTCTCTGCTCTGGCCTGGGAAAGTAATGGAGAATGGCCCAGGTCCTTGGGCCCCTGCACCCACATGGGAGACCTGGAGGGAGCTCCTGGCTCCAGATTGGCTTAGCTCTGGCCATTGTGGCCAATTGGGGAGTGAACCAGTGGATGGAGGACCTCTCTCTCTCTGCCTCTCCTTCTCTCTCTGTAACTCTGACTTTACTGTAAATAAATAAATCTTTAAAAAAAACTGAATCAAATCAATTTTGTAAGCAAAATCAGATACTTTCCCAGCAATTGTGACTATACTCCCCAAAAGTGTGAAGCAAGATTTTTAATTAGGGTTTCTTCTTTTCTCAGCATTATCTACTAAATTAACCACACAGTAAATCATTGTGGGTTTTTCTGATCTTTGACCACCACTTGTAATAACTAAGAGTTTAAATTTATCATCGGGCATGTCTTTTTCAACACATGAACTGATATTACCAGTTCAGTGAACATGGGGGCCACCTTTATAGGGGTTAAATAAAGTTTAATATTATAATTATACAGATCTCCTTAATATCTTCACAACTTCCAAGGCACATAAGTAATATTGTGGGTCATTTATAGGAGATGTTTGATTGAGTTTGTTTTTCTTTGTGAACTAACATGTAATTACTGTGTGGACATTAGAAACACAATTCTCAGAGCATGCAGCTTTAAAGTTTTTGGCATGACAGGCTGAATAACTATGTGGACCAGGGTGCTGGTTCTGTCCTGGTGGCTCCTCTTCCAGTCCAGCTCTCTGCTGTGGCCCAGGAAGGCAGGGGAGGATGGCCTAAGTGCTTGGGCGCTGCACCTGCATGGGAGACTAGGAGGAAGAACCTGGCTCCTGGCTTTGGATCAGCACAGTGCTCTGGCTGTAGCGGCCATTTGCTGAATTAACCAAAGGAAGGAAACCTTTCTCTCTCTCTCTCTCTCTCTCTCTCTCTCTCTCTCACTGTCTAACTCTGCCTGTCAAAAAAAACTATGTGGACCTTCATTCTAGAAATGATAGAAATTATTTTAAAAAGACTTATTCATTTATGTATTTGAAAGGCAAAGTGACAACGAGAGAAGGAAATATAGAAAGATCCTCCATCCTGCACTTCACTCGCCCAATGTCCTAGGCTTGGGTGGGTCAAAGCCAGAGCCCAGAATTCCATTTGGGTCTCCCATGCAGGTGGCAAGGGCCATGCACTTGGGGCCATCCTTTGCTGCCATCCCAAGTGTATTATCAGGAAACTGCATCAGAAGCATAATGACTGGGCCTGGAACCAGCACTGTGAAACAGGACGCAAGCCTTGGAAATGGTGGTTCAACCTGCTGTGTCACAGTGCTAACCCTGGTCAAAATTATGGTAAAACAAAAGTAAAGTCTCTAGACATGGTCCTAAAGTTGCAGCAAATTAAGAAATATTTACTGAAGAAAATTTAGTGTTTGTTGAAAGCAGGGAGAATCAGTGCCATTTGAATGCAGAGCTGTTTCCTCTCTCCCCTCTCAGAAAACTCCACTCCATACCTGTGGAATGAGAACACTGGGCTCCCTCTCCTGTTAGCTGATGGCTGGGTTCTGTTTCCAGAACTGTGCTCTGAGTGGGGACAGCTGAAAGACTGGAAGCTCAAAACCGAGCTTCCTGCATTTACAGTATTGTCATTCAAGGGCAATGGCAGGATTAGAGAAGAATCAGGATTTTAAGCAGGGTAAATCATGTGTTGGGCACAGAGAAGGAAGCCCACATCAATCCTGATCTTCCCCATTTGGAGAGGAGCAGCAGTAGCAGTGGGAACTCCATGCAACCCTGTGCTGACCTTGTTTTGTCTATAGCAGCATGCAGATCCAGCTCTCAGATTTGTGAAGATGTGTCAGATGGGCAGATGGCTAAAGGAACAGATGGATTTTCAGGAGTTCCTAGCTGAGTAATTATCAGAGTTGGAATTTTGTATTTCCACAAAGAGTTTGAAATGCACCTGACTTGAGACCCACTATTTTATTCCAATATGTGCACTAGTAGAGTTTTCCCAATTGTGTAATATGATCCATTGATGCATCGCTGATGATTTCACTACATGAGAGCAAGCATCTTTATAAAGGGTTAGACATGAGTAGCCCTAAGAACCTTGTTTATTTGTTTCAGTGTCTTAAAGTAGAATAGAGTCATTGTTCCTATCCTCGTGTTTTAAGCAAGCATCCATATGAAGTAACAGTGGTTCTATAACTACAATATAACTACCAGAACTTAAAATAAAAGTAGTGACAATTATCATCAAGTCTTGTGCTCACATTTGATTTTCTCCATTCCTCATATGTTTCTTTGAAACATGAGTTTGCTAAGCTAAGATTCATCAGAATTTGACTTGGATAGCACAGGGTTGCAGGTGAATTCTGATACATCATGTATGCTGTCCAGACAGCAGGACTGAGTACCCAGGAAATAGACGAATCATTCTTATTTCCTGATAGGAGGAGTGCTGAGGCTGTGGGAAATGTGTTTTCCCATGCCATGGCATCCCTGGCACAAAACCATGTGAGAAGATTTTTCAGGATCATTCAGAGCATTGGCCATTCTGCTCTCTCTTTTCCAAGAAATTTCAGGCTTTGTGGCCCCCAATGCTGCTTGATGGATTAAATGGATTCTGTATCCCTGAAGGTTGATCCCAGAGAAAAGGTGATCGTACAGGCCACAGGGATGCCCTGGGAAGTGGGACATGCATTCTCCACTGTGTGGAGCAGAAACATCCATGATACCCAGGTGGCTGAGCCCTGATATTGAGGTGTTAGCCATAAGCCTCAGTCTGTGTGGGAGCCACAGTGGCACTGGATCCTCTGAATGGGAATCAGGAAAGGGGTTCTGTGGGCTGTGCTTCAAGAGATTCCCATGTCAGTGGCTGAGATTGTGGTATAGCAGTTAAGCTAAATGACTCTGTGTGCTTACACATGTTCAGAAGCTGATTACAGAAGCTCCATGAATGTGGTCGATGCAAGATTGCAGTGGGGCAAGGGGACTGTGCAGACCACATGAGCAGGAAAGTGTGCAGTATGAGTGGTTCAAGCTCAGCCACTGAAGGATCCTGTTACTGACCTGTATAACATTGGTTTATCCATTTGAAGCATGAGGGCATTCAAAATACCAGTAAAATATCTCCCAAATCCTGATCCAAATCACTGTGAAGTGTGTGCAAGATCTATTACTATGGGGCAGTTTGGTTTGTGGAGTCTTTGTGGTGTCTCACCAACAAGTAAAAGGTCTGTCCATTTCTGTGATGTGTGGCCTGCCTAGTACCTTCCTTGAGTCCATAGAAGTCTATACACAGTGTGGTTTTCATGAGCAGTGGGTTTATGGTGTAAATTAGGGTTCTGGATGAAGATCCTATTTCCTCTCTAACAAAGTGGTTCATGCTGAATGAAGGAGTGGACTCCATCAGTTGGAATCCACATGAAAGGACACCCCTCTGATGCATACCCTCTCCCTAGAGCTTCATGGACTAGGCAAGGGAATCTTAGAATGGCTAAGGCCCAAGCAGTTGTTGATCCTTCTGCCCAGAGTGAGCAAGATTTTAGCGATGCTCTCTTATGTTAACTGTAAGCAAAAACTGGGTGATGTTTCAAATTTCACATGAACTTTGAGAAGGATGACACAGGTGACTAGAGAAACATACTCCCGAAATGTCCATAACAACGCTCACTACAGACTGAAATAAAGAGGCATATACTACATCTGGGTTTTCCCTTTGGGATGGCAAGAACCCAAGTTCTTATCCTCCCAGGCACATTAGCAGGAAGTTGCATTGCAGGTATAGAATAGCCAGGACATAATCCAAGATCTTTGATCTGGGATGCGATTCGTCCCAAGAAGCAGCTTAATCTGCTTCACCACAATACCCATCCCTCCTTTGGTTATTTTCTGTAGTTCTTGCTTGCACCCACATCTTCCATCAAGCAAGTCCCAGGTTTCATCACCAGATGACTGTCTGATAAGGCAAATTCCAGCAGGTACCTACTTTTCAAAGTATGTTAGTATTGTAGTCACTGATGTCCCATGGAATAAAGGAAGTGAAATGGCAAAGGCAAGGATTATTGTGTTGAAGGAGTCTGTGAAGGCTTGGGTCCTGGAAGGTGTGTCATTTGGACCAAGTACCAGAAAAATGCACTGCAATGATGTCCTACAGTGTGTCCATTTTTTCTATATAGTTGTGGGGAGAAAAATCTAAATGACAAGGTGCATAAATTCTATGGATTTGGATTTGTAGGGATACAACCACAAGAGGTGTTCTATAAACAGTCACATGGAGTCCTGCGTTGTGCATCTGTATCAATTAGAAATACTTAACACCGACCAAGCATTTTTTAATGTAGGTTTTAGTGACAGCATTATATTTCTTTCCATGGTGTACTGAAAATGATTTGAACAATAATCTTTAAAAATATAAATTAGTTCTCTTCAGCTCATTGCTTTTATTTCTCAGCTCATTCTGTATTCCTTGTTCAACACAGTATGATCTTGCTTAGTGCAGTAGAATGTAAGAGCAAGCCAGATCAGCTCACTCACAACTCCCTCCATTCACCTTCCTTTACAGATGCGGTTCTAGAGACCTCTACATGTCTCTGAGATAATGAAGACATCGCCAGTAAGTTCTTTATTAACTTATTCCTCCATTGTTTTATGTTGTATTTTAGGAGCTTTAAGAGGTTGTGATAATTAAAATGGAAATGTAAAAGTAATTAAAACTCACTGTTACAGAATATACATAAACAAGATATAGTTATGTTTACAACACACTAGAACCATGTATTCTAATTGCAAATTGCCCTCTGGTTTTTCTGATTACATAACAAAAAGACTATTCATTACATAATTCAAGCTGAAACTTAGAGCACTCTTGTGGGATGTAAAACCTGAAATAGTCTTTTTTGGTCCTGTAGGTGATATAGTGGACAGTGGTTTTCTTAAAGAACTCTCTTATACATTTCTTTCAGCCATGTTGGAGCTAGTGTAAATTTATATATTTGGGCCAATCATTCTATTCTTCATTTGGAGTTTAACCTACTCAAAATTGTCAAAATTCATTTCTTCAAGTACTTACCAAGAATATATGGTCAAAGCCTATATATATATTTGAGAGGTTGACAGAGAGAGGGGGAGATCAAGACAGAAAAAAAAGAGACAGAACTCAATTGACTCAGTTCTGAAATACCCAGTGCAGCCAGGACTGGCCTAAGGCTACAGCTGAGAGGCAGGAATGTAGTCCTTACCCACCTTGCTCAGTTACTTGAGTTATCACTACTGCCTCACAGCATCTGCATTAGCAGGCTGCTGGAATCAGGAATCAGGGTTGGGAATCAAACCACGGCACTCTGAATTTGGATTAGGGTTTCTCAGCTGACATCATAGACACTAGTCTAAATGCCTACCCTCTTCTTTAATTTTTTTTCTGCAATATTTGAAACCAATGTAAGTGATCTGCTCCTGAAATTTTTGTTTCATTTTTCTTTCTAACATGACCTCACTGGTGATTTCTCATCTTTCTCTTTGAACTCTTCTATTTTCTTCTCCTTAACAACACTCATCCAGGAATCCATGTGGTCTCCCAGTCAACACACATTCTGATTTACCTTGTGAGTTCTTCTCTCACTCATAGATTATTTGGAATTACATTTCTTCATGTTTAAATATTGGAGATTCTTCTGGTTTTCTTTTTTTCTTATTGACTTCTACCTTGAAAGTAGAGGAGGAAAACCAAAAGTCCATATCTGCAGATGACATGATTAGACCCTCAGAAACAGCTCCACAGCCCATCAAAAACCTGTGACAACGGATGAACTATTGCAGGAGGAGGTAGGTCAGGTAGTCCATACCTAAGGTGGACTCGGGCTGCTCCACCCACGCTGACAGACCCCGGACTGGAATTTCATCCTACCCACCATTTTCACACCTGATCCCGCTTCCCAAATGAGAAGGAGTAGGCCTTCTTCCGGGCCGAGGCTGGCGGCCACTTCTCGCAGATTCCGAGGCGTGAGGAACCCGTTGCAGCTGTGTGCAGCCACAAGCCATGGGCTCAGGGCTCTTCTCTGAGCTCACAGTAACTGTTGCCAAGCAACGCCTAATACACAAGTGTGCAGGCGTGCCTTGCTCTGGAGCTCTGAGGGCTGCACATGCGCACAGAAGCCTGGTGGCCAGAAGTGCTCAGTGTGCATGTGCAGGGGGAATCAGAGCATTTGGGTTGCTTTCCAAGATCAGTGGGACTTGACTAAGCCTTGGCGATGTTTTGGAAAAGCAGTCCCTGCAATCCGGCATGACTAAGCTGGCGCAGGGTGTCAGGCGCTGAAGGCCTCATGCAGAGTCAACTCCCTGGAAACCCCTCTCCCAGAATCAACTGATCCCAAAGTGGATTCCCCCTCCAGATCCCCCGGGGTCCTAGTCGGTTTCCATGGGAATGCAAGAAAGGAAGCCATGAATTCACACACACACACATAGTACACATACCACAGAGGGAGTCACACATTTAATTTCTAGAAACGGTTTCTACTGCTGATACACTACTAAACCAAACTTTTGTTCCTGTCTACCTTTCATTTCACATTGGGACAATGATTGTTCAAACTCTAACCAGTGATAGTCAGTTCCTCAGAGTCCTGGGTTGATAACATTCTCCTCCTCTTCTCCTAACCCTCATCTGGATGTCATGTCTATAAAATGTTGCTACTGATCCATTCGTGATAACATTGATTCCTGTGAATGTGAAATCGATGCACACACCTATCCTCTATTCATGAATATATTCCAATACAGAAAAGCAGTCCCAAGAAAGACTTCCAGAAGTATAAAGCAGTTAAAGAAGCAGAAGTTGCAGCAGGCGTGAAGGTGCAGCAGGTGAAGCTGCCATGAGAGACAATGGCATCCATATACAAGTTCCATTGGGAGTCCTGGAGACTCTGTGTCTAATCCAACTTCTTGATAATGCACATGAGAATGAGGTGGATCCTGATGCTAGTCCATGAGTCCCTGCCACCGACACCCAATTTGGAGCCCTGGATAGAGCTCCAGGATTCAGGATCCTGCCTGGCCCAGCCCAAGTTCTTGAAGGAATCTGAGAGAGGGAACCTCAGATGTGAGATCTCTCATTCACTCCTCCATTGAAGCAAATACATGTCTGAGAAAATGAGAAAAATGTTACAAAGAATAATTTCTAAGAATAATATAAAAAAGCAATGAACATCCTATTGGGATCTGCCCACTCTAGTTTTTTGATCCTTTAAGCATAGAGAAAAAATGTATAGATATCTTATGAATTGCACCCAGATTATCTTTGCAGGTTTAATCAACTGAAGTCAATTTATCATTCTTTCCTTTTCTCACAGACAATTTTCATGAACGTCCACATTTTCCCAATGACTGCTTTGGCCACTCGTTGCCATAATAGGGCAATAATACGACTGCAGGAAGCATTGTTTTGATTCACTCGTTTACCCACTCACTCAGGAAAGCAACACTTCCCGGGACTATCAAGTCACAGTCACAATCCTGAGAGAAGCCAAAAGGATGAAAGCTTGATTTTACCCTATATTCATGTAGAGGAACAGATGGAGGAAAAGTAGAAGAGCAAAGTCATCTGTCAGTACCCCTCAGACCTGGAACCAAAGATATCAACTCCCACCACTCTTATTTCATGAAGTATTGGAAGCCTCATCAAGAGCAGTCAGAAAAAGAGAAAGGCAGCAGGAGTCAGACATAGGGCTGTCACTCAGAGGGGGGCAGGACAAAGAAGGGCTGTCACTCTCCGGGATCAGGACAAAGTAGGGTGGTCACTCCCAGAGGGGTGGAACAAAGCAGTACTGTCAATCCCAGGTGTTGGGAAAAAGCAGGGCTGCCAAGCCCAGAGGGGCGGGACAAAGCAAGACTGCCACAGCCATAGGGCCAGGACAAAGCAGGGCTGTCACTCTGAGAGGGGCTGGACAAAGCAGGGCTGTCACTACCAGGGGTGGGACAAAGCAGTGCTGACACTTCCAGAGGGGTGGAATGAAGCAGTCCTGTAAATCCCAGGCATGGGGAAAAGCGGGGCTGCCAAGCCCAGGGGGGCGGTACAAAGTAGGGCTGCAAGAGTCCAGAGGGGCAGGACAAAGCAAGACTGCCACAGCCATAGGGCCCAAACAAAGCAGGGCTGTCACTCCCAGGTGGCAGGACAAAGCAGGGTTGTAACTCCCAGGGGGCGGTACAAAGCTGGGCTGTCACTCCTAGAGGGCCAGGACAAAGTAGGGCTCTCACTCCCAAAGGGGCGGCATAAAGCAGCAATGTCATTCCCAGGGGTCAGGACAAAGCAGGGCTGTCACACCAAGAGGGGCATAACAAAGTATTACTGTCAATCCCAGGGGGTGGTACAAAGCAGGGCTGTCACTCCCTGAGGGGCAGGACAAAGCAGGGCTGTCACTCTCAGGGAGCAGGACAAGGCAGGGCTGTCAGTCCCAGGGGGCAGGGCAAAGCAGGGTTGTCACACCAAGAGGGGCGGGACAAAGCAGGGCTATCACACCAAGAGGGGCAGGACAAAGCAAGGCTGTCACTCCCTGAGGGGTTGGACAAAGCAGGGCTGCCAATATCAGGAAGCAGGACAAAGCAGGGCTGTCATTCCCAGGGGTCAGTACAAAGCAGGGATGTCACTCCCACAGGGGTGGGATAAAGCAAGGCTGTCACATCCAGGGGCTGGGAAAAAGCAAGCCTGTCACTTCTGGAGGGGCAGGACAAAGCAGGCTGCCATGCCCAGAGGGGCAGGACAAAGCAAGTCTTCCACAGCCATAGGACTGGGACAAAGCAGGGCTGTCAGTCCCAGGGGGTGGTACAAAGCAGGGATGCCACACCCAGAGGGGCAGGACAAAGCAAGACTGCCACTGCCAGAGGGCCTGGACAAACCAGGTCTGTCACTCTGACAGGGGCGGGACAAAGCAAGGCTGTCAGTCCCTGGTATGTGTAACTGCTCCAGTCTGTAAAGATGGAAGAATTTAACAGCCAGATTTATCTAAATCTTAGGGGAGTATAGTTAACATTAAAAAAGAAGAAGAAGAAAAAGCAGAGCCAGGGCCATGGCATAGTAAGCTAATCTTCTACCTGCAGCACCAGCATCCCAATATGTGTGCAGTTCATATCCCAGCTGCTGCACTTCTAATCCAGTCTCTGTTATGGCATGTGTAAGCAGTGGAAGATGGTCCAAGTGCTTGGACCTCTGCACCCATATGAAGACCAAGAAGAAGCTCCTGGATCCTGCCTTTGGATCAGCTAAGCTCCAGACATTGTGGCCACTGGGGAATGAACAAGGAGACAGAAGACATTTCTCTCTGTCTCTCCCTCTGTCTATAAGTCTGCCTCTCAAGTAAATAAATAAAATCTTAAGTAAGATTTGTTACTCTCCTCCTATTGAATCCACTCTCACCTTTTGTAACACTGGATAGCAATCTTTAGTAATATTCATGAAGCACCTGACTCTCCCGTGTCTTTGGTCCCCTCTTCTTAACCATAGTACTCATTACTGAAGCTCAGGGCCCTAATATCAGTACCTGATATATTATTACAGCTCTGAGTCACCCAAATCATTCAAAACAACATGCAACACTGACCTTCATCTGTAGATGGAGCTCTGAAGGTCAAAAGAGAGAAGGGAGAAAAACCTGTGGACACATTTTGGGTGGCAATGGTTCACATTAAAGCTCAGGGGAAATGTCTAAGACTCTCCTCAGCCCTATTACCAATCACTCACCACTGGCTTTCCTATCTTGATCTGATAACCTCTTCACAGCTGTGGGCAGCCACAGGCAGTCACTCCCTTTGTTTACACTTAACCATATGGATGGAGACTTCCTGGCACAGACAATTAGACTAAGGAGATTCTGGGAAGAGGCAGGAAGAACCTTATCTCACTGCTAAGCCTCTTACAAGAGATGATATAGATAATCAGTCACACCTGAAACCTGCATTTATCACCTAAGTGTAATCAATAATTAAGAACCTTATCTGGAACTCTTTGTAACCTTAAAAGCCTTTTTGATATGTAAATCTTTTGTGCTCCTTCTTGTAAACAACTGGTCATGTTTAAATACTACTGGATTTGTTGAATAAACAAACAAAAAAAGCCTTGTTCAGGACTTGTCTTGGCTCCATTCTTTGTGTCCTTGTCCCTGCATTCCCACTCTCTGTTTCAGGAAACCTGGTTCTTTGTGCTGCAGGCCTGCACACACAGCGTCTTCCCTTCTCCAAATGTGAAAGCAATGTCCACCAGAGCAGAGTTTGCTCAGGACATTCTGGAAATTTCTCAACCCCCTATACTATAAGATAGCACTTTGGGAGACCGAACAAGGCCTAAAGATGTCAAGTAAACACAGTCTTAGGACTTTTCTTTTGCCAGCTCCAGACACACACTCCCATAGAGGCCCTGAATGACTGTAGGACTTTTTAAATGCAGCAAGGAAAAGAAAACACAAATGCGGTAGTAATAGGAACATTGAAAAAAGTCTAGAAAAGTTTTCTGAATGTGTGAAAAAGTTATTTTCTCTTTACATTTTTGTTTGAAATTTGCATGATGTCTAATCCTCAGAGGCCTAACCAAAGTTTTAGTTATAAATAATGCAAGTTTCCTAAAATAGAAACAAATAAAGGTAAGGCAGAAAGTTTGTCTTTCCTCCTTTTAAATCCAGCTCCTAAATTTCTCACTACTTTAGTCTTTAAATAAAAACCTCACTGCTCAGAACAGAAGTGGCCTCATTCCAACAAACACAAAGGCTTGTCTCTGAATGGCTGCCAGCTGGCACCTGGATACTCCCATCCAAGGTAGAGGAGATAACACCCAGTGAAGTCCACAGAATGCTTCAAAGGCAAACAGCCCACTACCACATGCATGGAATGGACAATGCCAAGTGTCACTTTTTTTTTTCCAGCTTTCTTCTTTCTCATTGAATTAGCCACACTCACCTACATCTTGATAAAGCTATGTGCTAATGTAGGTCTTCAAAGTACCTGAATTTCTAGTGAGAGCTCATGGTGATTCAGTAGTGGTAAGGCTGAAAGCTATGTTAAATTGTTTCTGGGTCCTACAGAAGCACAGCACTTGTTTATCCCACTGTGTTATAGCTCTCTAAAAATACAGCCAAAATCCCTTTGCCTGGGTGGGCAAAGGTTGCCTTGTGTTTCACTCTTGAATCCCTAGGAGAGACAAAAGGGCCACATCCCTTTGGAAAACAGAAAGCAAATTAACTCTCAACATCACCCTCTTTTGAAGGTTAGCTGAGATGGGAGACACTAATATTCTCAGAATTCTCATTCAAGGTGTGATGTAAAGTCCCTTAGTGCCTCAAACTCTTCCCTACTCTCATCAGCTTAGGTCATATATAAGGCCTTTTGAAAGACTTAACCTTAGGCTAGTGCTATGGCATAGCAAGTAAAGCTATTGCCAGCAGCTCTGGCAACCCTATGGGCTCTGGTGGGAGTCCCAGATGATCAATTTATGATCCAGATCCCTGCTGATATGCCTGGGAAAACAGTGGAGGGTGATCCAAGTTCTTGAATCTCTGAATCCAAGTAGGAGATCCAGAAGAAACCCCTGGCTTTGGATCAGCCCACCTCTGGCCATTGCAGCCGTTTGGGGAGTAAACCCGTGGATGGAAGTTCTCTCTCTCTCTCTCTCTGCCTTTCAAATAAAATAAATAAATCTTTTAATTTTTGACAGGCTGAGTGGACAGTGAGAGGCAGAGACAGAGTAAAAGCTCTTTCTTTTGCCGTTGGTTCATGCTCCAATGGCTGCCACGGCCGGCGCGCTGTGGCCAGTGCACCACACTGATCCGATGGTAGGAGCAAGGTACTTATCCTGGTCTCCCATGGGGTGCAGGGCCCAAGTACTTGGGCCATCCAACACTACACTCCCTGGACACAGCAGAGAGCAGGCCTGGGAGAGGGGCAACCGGGACAGAATCCGGCGCCCCGACCAGGACTAGAACCCGGTGTGCTGTCACCCCAAGGCGGAGGATTATCCTAGTGAGCCACAGTGCCAGCCAAATAAATAAATCTTTTTAAAGGAAAACCTTTTGGAATCTGTAGACAGTATATATATAGTATATACAATCAACTAGACTGACAAATCCAAACAAAAATTAACCATCGTCATTAAGAAATGCTTCCAGGTTTGAATGCTGACTTTGTCATGCTTAGCAATAGCATCTTGGGTAATCTCTGTTCCTCTTCATCTGGAAAATGATAACAATAGTTATATCTAGTGCTTAAGCAAAAATGAAATGGGACAACACATTTAGAATGCTAATAGTCATGTCTGGCATATAATGACTCATTAAATACTGGTTAACCACTATTACTATTATGTCCTAACAGGCTATTTCCAATGGGCTACCCTTGAGTTCCCATACTCTGAATTTATAAGCTCAATCAACACATCATGTAGCTGCAGAGGGATCAATGTCTCCCATATTCCTCCCTAGAGTGCTCTAGACTACACATAGGGCAAACTATATCCAAGGAGACTCTTAAGAATACACAAGATGAATGGAATTAAAGGGCCAGTGCAGTGGTGCAGTGGGTTAATCCTCCACTTGCAGTGCCCGCATCCCATATGGGTGCCGCCAGTTCTAGTCCTGGCTGCTCCTCTTTGAATCTAGCTCTCTGCTGTGGCCTGGGAAAGCAATAGAAGATGGCCCAAGTACTTGGGCCCCTGCACCCATATGGGAGACCAGGAAGAAACACCTGGTTCCTGGCTTCAGATTGGTGCAGCTCTGGCTGTTCTAGCCATTTGGGGAGTGAACCAATGGAGGGAAGGACTTTCTCTCTGTCTCTACCTCTCAATGTCTGTAAATAAATAAAATCTTTTTTAAAAAAAGAAAATGGAATTAAAAGGTAAGTTAACTTTATTACAATTAAAAAATTGATACCTAGTTTTTCTCTGACACACATTTTTAATGAAATTTTTGAAGACTCCTCATGTACCCTCGTCTCTATTATGGGCAACATATTGATTTTCAGAGTCCTTTTGCTTGCACATTATATTTTCTCACTTGATTTAACTCACATATAAAAGCTTTAGGAAATCATGGGAGTATCCATTAATAGGTCAGGCCTCCCAATATCAGTAGTCACTGGGTTCCACACTCCCCTTCCTTCTCACAGCTAAGTTCAGCTAAGTCAAAGAAAAAAGGGTAGTTCTTTGTATTTTATTCCTGAAAACATCAATCTTAAGACATTTTAAGTCCTCTTTTAAAGCTTCAAGTTGGAGAGAGAACATTTATCCAAGGTCCATGATCTAGGTAGCTGATTATTTTTAGCATCTTTGAGCAATAATTGTTAATGAGCTTTTAATTTGCAGGGCTTAAATCACCAAAGTGTTCCAAGTTTCAGGGAAGCACCACAGAATTCAAAGGAAATCTCATCAATTGCTTTCTATCAGTTCACTTCCTGACACTCACCTTCCAATAAAAGCAGCCAAAAGACTTTCTAAGATCACAGGTACACTTTAGTGGAGTCACATTCCAAGTCCTTGTTTATAAATTGGTTTTTAAATGGTCAGGGATTGAGGTAATATACTTCATCTCCATTACACAGGTCCACAAAACAATACAAACTTTGTGCCAAGAAAAAGGAGACAGAGCATGAAGCCACAGGCAGTCCAGGTTTATTCAGAAGGTTTCTTCACTCCAAGGTGAATGCATGGCAGAGAGTTCCCAGCAAGCACACAGCAAAGAGAGAACCCCCTGTCTTACAGACTAGTGCTTTATATAGTACAAAGTAGTGGGAAGGAGCTTGGAGGTCTGAGCTAAAGCAGAGCTGCTGAGATAGAGAAGTGCTTGGGCTAGATTTAAAGGTCCTTTGAGGTCACAGTGTGAGCTGGGAGGGGTTTGGAATTGAAGGGTTAAAAAGTTAAAAGCCGCTCCCCCCCCAACCTCCTCTGGTGAACTTTCCTGACCTCGTTAGACTTGCTCTGCATAGCCATTAGTCAGTAAATTACCCCAATGTGAGCAGTAACCTCAGTTTCACCTAAGTGAGATAGAAGAAGTCACCATATATCTCTGCCTCCTGGACCCCTGACTCCACCATGTGTCCCTTATCGCCATTCGGCTGCATTCCTAGGTATCACTCCCTGTATTCATAAATCAACTGGTTGTAAAATCACTTAACTTGTATCAATTGTTTACTCTATACCACTGTCTGCTCTATGCAATGATTGATTTTCTTTGTTTCAATGTGTATAAAAACCCCAACCCAAGACTATTCGAGGCCGCTCGCCTGTACTGGGACGGGGGCCCCGACATGTCGGAACATCAATAAACTTTACCCTTTGTTAATTACATGAGAGAAGGTCTCTTGGAGCGTTTTTGGGGTGGCAAGAGCAATTCAACTCTAATTCGACTGTAACATATGGAGGCCCCAGCGAGATAGCTCTGCTGCCCACGGACGTCTCCAACGGACATCTCTCGGGGTAAGTAAAGGCGCCTAAAGGATAGGGACTCTGTGCACGTGCATTTCTGTTTCTGTATCTGGTTCAGGCCTGAAGCTGTTTCGGGCTGGCACGGTAGACGTTGGGTGGCAGACGTGCCAGGAAGCCACAACGCTACAGCCTCGAGGGACGCCTCGGGAGGACCGGGAGACTGAGGACGCTCAGCGAAACTCCCATCTGGAATTCCCGCGGTCAGGAATTCGGTGCCAGCATCAGTATTCACCCTTTGTCTTTCAGGTTTTACTTCTATTGCATAAACTGTTTTCAGACTCACATTTTGTGTTGCCGGCATTGTCACAGGACTCTGATGTGGTTCCGGAGTCTGTGTTTGTCTGTTTGTGTGTGGCATTGTCGCGAGACTCTGATGTGGTCCCGGAGTCTGCATTTGTAGGTTCTGATGTGGTTCCGGAACTTGCATTTGTATTGTCGGCATTGTCACAGGACTCTGATGTGGTTCCGGAGTCTGTGTTTGTCTGTTTGTGTGTGGCATTGTCGCGAGACTCTGATGTGGTCCCGGAGTCTGCATTTGTAGGTTCTGATGTGGTTCCGGAACTTGCATTTGTATTGTCGGCATTGTCACAGGACTCTGATGTGGTTCCGGAGTCTGTGTTTGTCTGTTTGTGTGTGGCATTGTCGCGAGACTCTGATGTGGTCCCGGAGTCTGCATTTGTAGGTT